CATTGTTTGGCGGGGCTGGATTCTAACTTGCTACTTGAGCCACAGGCGCCGAGTCCCGGCTCACACTTTGATCAACCTGTTCATAGTCTGAGGATGTGGTGGGGCAGGGATCGCAGATAAATGAAGTTGCTGATAGATGAGTGTCTGAAGGGTGTAGAATCAATAAAGTTGAACATGGGTGAAATGGTCAAGTGTGAGGGATCCTGTTCAGCTCCATGATACATAATTCCTTGCTGTCATTCCACTCTTCTCTTCTTGTTTAGATATTTTGTTTCTCTTTTTTATTTCATCTCCTTTTAAGCCTCCATGCTGAAAGTAAGTTTTGTTTTCTTTATTGTCCAAGGTCCAGGTAATCTGTTGTTTTTCCTTGAACTCCTAGAGTCAAGATGTCCTCCCACCTCAGCCTCCTAAATAGCCGGACATTGTGGAGGGTGCCTGTGGTCCCAGCTACTTGGGAGGCTGAGGCAAGAGAATCGCCTAAGCCCAGGAGTTGGAGGTTGCTCTGAGCTGTGTGACACCACAGCACTCTGCCAAGGACGATAAAGTAAGACTCTGTCTCTAAAAATATATATATATAAAAATTAGACTAGTCTGGTGGCAGAAGCCTATAGTCACACTACCGGAGAGGCTGAAGCAGGAGAATCACTTTAGTCCAGGCATTTGAAGTTGCAGTGAGCTGTGATGACGCTGTTGCATGCTAACCTGGGAGAAGAACAAGACCTTGTCTCAAAAAAAATAAAACCAAAGAACTGCTCTGTGGCATGTGTATGAAAAGGAGATTATAGGATGACAAGATTCAAGGCAGGCAGGGAAAGCTGAGGTCTGTGATAGAGGTCAAGACATTCCTAGATCTCAGAGGGTCTTCTTACTATTGCAGTTGTGAGCCCAGAATTACTCAGAGCCCAAGAAGAATGGGAAGCTGTGGAGACCATCCAGCCAGGGACAGGTAACTGTAGAAACAGTACTATCAACACCCAGCTCCCCGACAAACAAAGGCACCATCCACATGTGTAGCTGATATTTCTGTGACTCTAAGATCATGAGACAGTGTCCCTGAGAGTTGTCATTTTAGCTCTGTGGCCTAGAAAAAAATCACTTTTCCAAACCCAAAGTTGATAACATGCCATTTTGGGGAGGAGTCAGGAATGGATGCCCCGGGAAAGGGCTGCCAGCCCTGCCCATCCTTCAGGCAAGGCCCAGAAGCCCATTCTCCATCCATCCCTGAGAGAAGACAGGGAGTATTCTGGTCAGGGTCACCTTTTGCAGGGTGATGAGTCAGGCAGGAGGAGGGGGGCAGGTGGCCAGGGCCCCTGTACAAGACTATTCCCTGCACTAGGAAGGCCCTGGGGATGGAGGTGAAGCCACCTGCTGGAAAACCCTGAGGCTGGGGAAAAATTGTCTCATGTTCCTTTCTGAGAGTTTTAGGTGGAACTGTGGGAGGGTAAACTAAGACATCTATGTTCCCTGAGCTCCTGGAGAGATATTACAGTGGGTGGTATCAGCCCTCACCTCCCTGTGGGCTCTGACAGCTCATTCTGGGATGGGGTGGGAGGGCCTGTACAGGGTGTGAGAAGTGGCAAAGTGGAAATTAGGAATGGCCCTTCAACAAACTGGTTGCATGCTCCTACGTGGGTACCTACTCCAGGCAGTAACCTGCCCCCTCACAGATGAGTAGAATTTAGGAAGGCCACGGCAGGGCAGATCTGTCCCATCCTCACTGCAGAGGTCAGCCTAGCAAGACAGGCTGAAATGATAGCCCAGCAGAGAGGCCAGCCTCCTGAAGGAGAAAAGGTTATAGCTACAGATGTCTGATGTGTGGCTTGTAGGTGACAACCAGGAGGCCCTCAGTAAATGTTCGCTGACAGAATGACTATCATTACTAGTCTTAAGAGTGTCTTCCCTTTTGCCACAGGGTGCCAGGCCATCTCAGAACAGCCTGGGCAGCTAATCTCCTTCAGTGAGGCCCTGCAGCACTTCCAGACTGTGGACCTGTCCTCCTTCAAGGTACAGTTTCAGGGAGGGGTGGGGTCTCAAGCAAAGCACCTTCTCAGGAGCCAGGTTTCTACTCTACCAGGGTAAGGCACTGGGCAAGTAAGATGGAAGCTTCCAGTTGAGGGCCTTATCTCACCTAAGATCTTGGAACATGGACCCATGAATGGTCCAAGACCCATGCTTCATGCAGAGTCCTGATAGCTCTGTGGGACTGTGCCCGTTGGCTCTTGTGGCCCTGTTATTCAGGGTCTTCTATAGCTGGTCCTCTGTTCTTCCCTCTTAGGGGTGGGGAAGTATGGAGTCAGTACTAGGTAATTCCATGGGGAAACAAGACAACCTGTCCAGGGAGCTGAGTACCTGATGGACACTGGAAGAAAATCTTCCCTTCCCTCAAGGAGCCAGAAATACTTAAGAGTTTAAGAAAGATGAAGTGGGCTCAGCGCGTATAGCTCAACTGGCTAAGGCGCCAGCCACGTACACCTAAGGTGGCGGGTTC